GGGGGACACTGAGGGGACATTGGGGAGATATTTGGGAAATGGGGACATTGAGGGGGACACTGAGGGGACATTGGGGAGATATTTGGGAAATGGGGGACATTGGGGACATTGAGGGGACACTGGGGGACATTGGGGGACATGGGAGTAACACTGGGGACATGGGGACACCTTGAGGACATTGAGGGGACATTGGAGGGACATTGGGGACATTGGGGATATTGGGGACACATTGGGGGACATTGAGGGAGCATTGGGGACACTGGGGGGACATTGGGGACATCTTGGGGACATTTGGGGCACATTGAGGGAACATTGGGGACAATGGAGACATGGGAGTAAGACTGGGGACATGGGGATATTGGGGACATGGAGGGACATTGGGGACGTTGGGGACGTTAGGGTAACACTGGGGACATGGGGACACCTTGAGGACATTGAGGAGACATTGAGGGGACATTGAGGGGACATGGGGGGGACACTGGGGGGACATTGGGGGACACTGAGGACACTGAGGAGACATTGGGGGCACTGGGGATGTTGGGGACATTGGGGGGACATTTGGGAAATGGGGACATTGGGGACATTGAGGGGACACTGGGGACATCTTGGGGACATTGGGGGGACATTTGGGGACATTGGGGGACATTGGGGGGTGGGGGGATGAGGGTGAGGTTGGTTGTTGGGATTTGGGGATTTTGGGATTTTGGTGGTGTCGGGGTTTGGGGGGTTTCTGGGATTTGGGGATTTTGGGATTTTGGAATTTCGGGATTTTGAACTTGGGATTTTGTGATTTCAGGATTTCGGGATGTTGGGATTTCGGGATGTTGGAATTATGGGATGTTGAATGTTGGGATTTTAGGATGTTGAGATTTTGGGATTTCAGGATGTTGGAATTTTGGGATGTTGAACGTTGGGGTTTTGGGGTGTTGGATTTTGGGATTTCGGGATCCTGGGATTTTGAGACGTTGAATTTGGGATTTGGGGGGTGTTGGATTTTGGGATTTCGGGATCCTGGGATTTTGAGACGTTGAATTTTGGGATTTGGGGGTGTTGGATTTTGGGATTTTGGGATGCTGGCCATTGGGATTTTGGGATTTCGGGATGTTGGGATGTTGGGCATTGGAGTGTCGGGATTTTGGGAGTGTTGGATGTTGGGATTTTGGGGTGTTGGCTATTAAGGTTTTGGGGTTTGGGGTTGTTGCATCTTGGGATTTCGGGGTGTTGGAATTCTTGGATTTTGGGATGTTGAATGTTGGGATGTCGGAATTTTGGGAATTTGGGATTTTGGATGTTGGGATTTTGGGGTGTTGGGATTTCGGGATTTTGGTATTTGGGGTGTTGTGGCTTTGGGATTTTGGGATTTGGGGCAGTTGCGTGTTGGGATTTTGGGATGTTGGGTGTTGGGGTTTGGAGGCGTTGGAGTCGTGTGCTGATGTTGGGATTTGGGGATGTTGGGATTTTGGGATGTTAGGATTTGGGATTTTGAAACATTGGGATTTGGGGATCCTGGGATTTTGTGGTGTTGGATGTTGGGATTTTGGGGTTTTGGGATTTTGGGATTTCGGGGTGTTGGAGTTTTGGGATTTGGGGATTTTGGACTGCTGGGATTTTGGGATGTTGAGCATTGGGATTTTGAGATGTTGGGTGGTGGATTTGGGGATTTTGGGATCTTGGGATTTTGTGGTGTTGGATGTGGGATTTTGGGTTTTGACTGCTGGAAGTTCGGGATGTTGGGTATTAGGATTTTGGGGTGTTGGATTTGGGGATTTAGGGATTTTAGGGTTGTGTGAACGTGTTGGCATCTTGGATATTGGGATTTGGTAATGTTGGGATTTTGGAATATTGGGGTTTTGGGATTTTGGGGTTTTGGGATTTTGGGGTTTGGGGATTTGGGGATTTTGGATATTAAAATTTTGGGGTTTTGTGGTGTTGTATGTTGGGATTTTGAGATCTTGGGATTTTGTGGTGTTGGGTTTTGGAATTTCGGGATTTCAGGATGTTGGCATGTTGGGCATTGCAGTGTCGGGATTTTGTGGTGTTGGATTTTGGGATTTTGAGATCTTGGGATTTTAGGGTGTTGAATTTGGGGATTTTGGGGGTTTGGGATGTTAGAATTTTGGGCTGTTGGGTTTTGGGATTTTGGGATTTCAGGATGTTGGGATATTGGGCATTGGAGTGTCGGGATTTTGGGGGTGTTGGATTTTGGGATCTTGGGATCTTGGGATTTTGGGATGTTGGATTTTGGGATTTTGGGATGTTGGATGTGGGATTTTGGGGTTTTTGGATGTTAGTTTTGTGATTTTGGGATGTTGGAGGTGTTGGATATGGGGATTTTGAGATCTTGGGATTTTAGGGTGTTGGATTTTGGGATTTCGGGATTTGGGGCTGTTGTTTGTTGGGATTTTGGGATGCTGGGCATTGGGATTTGGGGTGTTGTGTTTTGGGATTTGGGGATTTCGGGATCCCTGGATTTTGAGATGTTGAATTTTGGGATTTGGGGGTGTTGGATTTTAGGATTTTAGGATTTGGGGCCGTCGTGTCTCGGGATTTTGGGATGCAGGGCATTGGGATTTTGGGATTTTGGATTTTGGGGTTTGGGATTTTGGGATTTCGGGATGTTGGGATGTTGGGATGTTGGGATTTCAGGATGTCGGGATTTTGGAATGTTGAATTTTGGGATTTTGGATGTTGGAATTTGGGATGTTGAATGTTGGGATTTGGGGTTTTGAGATTTCGGGATTTGGGGATTTGGGGCAGTTGCGTGTTGGGATTTTGGGATGTTGGGATGATGGGCATTGGAGTGTCGGGATTTTGGGAGTGTTGGATTTTTGGATTTTGGGATTTTGTGGTGTTGGATGTTGGGATTTTGGGATTTGGGGATGTTAGGATTTTGGGATGTTGGAGTTTTGGGATTCGGGGATTTTGGAATTCTGGGATTTTGGGATGTTGAGCATTGGGATTTGGGGATTTTGGAGATGTTGGATTTTGGGATTTTGGGGTATTGGATTTTGGGGGTTTCAGGATGTTGGGATGTTGGGCATTGGAGTGTCAGGATTTTGAGGTGTTGGATTTGGGATTTCAGGATGTTGGGGTTTTGGATTTTGGGATGTTGGGATGTTGGGCATTGGGATTTTGAGATGTTGGGTGTTGGATTTTGGGATTTTGAGATCTTGGGATTTTGTGGTGTTGGATGTTGGGATTTCGGGATTTGGGGATGCTGCATATTGGGATTTTGAGCTTTTGGGATTTTTTTGGTGTTGGATTTTGGGATTTCGGGATTTCGGGATGTTGGGATGTTGGGCATTGGAGTGTTGGGATTTTGGGGTGTTGGCTGTTGGATTTTGGGATTTTGAGATCCTGGGATGTTGTGGTGTTGGATGTGGGATTTTGGGTGTGGAGTGCTGAAAGTTTGGGATTGTGGATCTGGGGATTTCAGGGAGTTGGGAATTTGGGATTTTGGGAAATTGGGATTTCAGGATGTTGGGGTTTGGGTGTTGGGATTTTAAGGTGTTGGATATTAAGGTTTTGGGGTTGTTGCATCTTGGGATTTCAGGCGTTGGAATTCTTGGATTTTGGGATGTTGGATGTTGGGATGTTGGAATTTTGAGAATTTGGGATTTTGGATGTTGGACTTTGGGATGTTGAATGTTGGGATTTTGGGGTGTTGGGATTTTGGGACTTTGGGATTTGGGGATCTGGGGACTTTGAGATTTCAGGATACACTGGGATTTTGGGATGCTGGGATTTGGGGGAATTTGGAGATTTTAGGACTTGGGGATTTCAGGATTTAGGGATTTGGAGATTTGGGGATTTGGAGATTTGGGGACTTTGACATTTCAGGATACACTGGGATTTTGAGATGCTGGGATTCGGAATTTGGGGATTTGGGATTTGGGGATTTGGAAATTTGGGATTTCAGAATTTGGGAGTTTTGGGACTTGGGGATTTCAGAATTTGGGGATTTCGGGATTAGGGATTTGGGGATTTGGGATTTCGGGACTTTGAGATTTCAGATTTTGGGGATTTCAAGATTTAGGGATTTAGAGATTTGGGGACTTGGCATTTCAGAATTTGGGGATTTCAGGACTTCGGCATTTGAAGATTTGGAGATTTGGGGACTTAGAGATTTCAGGAAATGCTGGGATTTTGTGATCCTGGTGTTTGGAGATTTGGGACTTTGAGATTTGAGGTTTTGGGATTTGGAGATTTGGGATTTGGGGACTTTGGGATTTCAGAATTTGGGGATTTGAGGACTTTGGGATTTGGAGATCTGAGGACTTTGGGATTTGAAGATTTGGGAATTTGGGGATTTCAGGACACTGGGATTTCAGGATACTCTGGAATTTTGGGATGCTGAGATTTGGGACTTTGGGATTTCAGAATTTGGAGATTTGGGATTTCAGGATTTGGGGATTTGGCATTTCAAAATCTGGGGATTTCAGGACTTTGGGATTTGAAGATTTGGAGATTTGGGGATTTTGAGGTTTCAGGAAATGCTGGGATTTTGTGATGCTGGGATTTGGAGATTTGAAGACTTTGGAGATTTGGGGATTCGGGGATTTCAGGATACTCTGGAATTCTGGGATGCTGGCATTTGGGAATTTTGGGATTTCAGAATTTGGGGATTTGGGATTTCAGGATTTGGGGTTCATCCCCAGCCTGTCCCTTCTGCTTCTCCTCCGCCACTTCCACCCCCAATTCCTGCACAAATCCTCCCACCTCAAACCCCCCCAAAATCCCCCAAAAACCCCCCAAAATCCCCCAAAACCTCCAAGCCCATGGGTGCCACCACCGCCGGTCACTGTCCTTTATTTGGGGACACGGGAGGGGTGGGGACCTGCCCCGCAATTCCCAAAAAACAAAAACGGCACCGCGACACCTGGGGAGGGGTGGCACGAGGTGACACGAGGTGACAGAGGTGACACGAGGTGACACGAGGTGACAGATGGTGACAGGAGGTGGCAGGAGGTGGCAGGAGGTGGCAGGAGGTGACAGAGGTGACAGAGGGGCCGTGGCCACCCCCCGGTTAAGAGAATTCCTGGACGAATTTGGTGTAGAAGGAGCTGAGCTTCTCCAGGAGGATCTTCAGCTTCTCCGTGGGCGGCAGGATGGTCATCCTGGAATATGGGGAAAAATTAAAATTTGGGAAAATTCTGGGGAAATTAATCCCAAAATTCCGAGCCCAAAAAACCGGGGGGGTGGCCAAAAAAAAAAAAATCTAAAAAAAAAAATTTGAATTTTTTTCAGGAGAAATGTGGGGAAATTAATCCCAAAATTCCAAGCTCAAAAACTGGGGGGGGTGGCAAAAAAAAAAAAATTAAAAAAAAATTCGAATTTTTTGCCCCTGGTTTTGCACAGGAATCACCAAAAGTTGTGGTCAAGGAAAAAGTGGGTGGGGATTTGGGATTTTTCAGATTTGGGATTTGGGATTTCGGGTGAGGGATTTGGGGGATTTGCGGTGGGGGGATTTGGGGATGGGGGAGCAGAGAATCTGGGGTGGAAATCCCAAGAACGGGGAATTTGGGGGGGGTGATCCCCGAGAACAGGGAATTTGGGGATTTGGGAATTTGGGGATTTGGGGATTTGGGAATTTGGGGATTTAGGGTTGCGGATTGGGGATTTGGGAACAGGGGATTTGGGATGGGGCGATTTGGGATGATTGGGGTGATTGGGGGGTTTGGGGATTTGGGATTGGGATTTAGGGATTTGGAATGGGGGGATTTTGGGATTTGGGGTTTTGAGGATTTGGGATGGGAGGATTCTGGGGTTTGGGATTTTGGGGATTTGGGATGGGAATCTCTGGGGATTTGGGGGTTTGGGATGGGGGGACTTGGGGATTTGGAGGAGGGGGATTTGAGGATTTGGGGACCAGGGATTTGGGGTTTGGCGGTTTTCAGATTTGAGGATTTGGGGATTTGGGATGGGGGGAATTTGGGATGGGAGATGGGGGGCATTTGGGATGGGGGTTGTGGGGATTTGGGATTTGGGATTGGGATTTAGGGATCTGGAATGGGGGGATTTGGGGATTTGGGATGGGAGGATTTGGGGTTTGGGGTTTTGGGGATTTGGGATTTGGGGTGAAGGGATTTGAAGAATTGGAGATTTGGGGATTTGGGGCAGGGGGAACAGAGAATTCGGGATTTGGGGTGGGAGGATTTGGGAGTTTGGGATTTGGGGATTTGAGATGGGAAGATTTGGGGATTTGGGGTGGGGGGATTTGGGGGTTTGGGATGGGGGGATTTGAGGATTTTGTGGATTTGGGGATTTGGAATTGGGGTTTTGAGGATTTGGGGATTTGGGAATTTGAGAATTTGGGGATTTGGGTGGGGGGATTTGGGATGGGAGAATTTGGGGATTTGGGGGTTTGGTGATTTGGGATGGGGGATTTGGAGATGGGGGAACAGGGATTTGGGATGGGGGGATTTGGGATTTGGGGTGTGGGGTTTGGGGATTTGGGATGGGCGGATTTGAGGTTTGGGGTTTTGGGGGTTTGGGATTTGGGATGGGGGATTTGAGGATTTGGGGACTAGGGATGGGGGATTTGGGAATTTGAGAATTTGGAGTGGAGGCATTTGGGATGGGGGATTTGGGGATTTGGGGTGCAGGGATTAGGGGTGGGAGATTTGGGAATTGGGAATTTGGGATGCAGGATTTGGGATGGGGAACAGGGAATTTGGGATGGAGGATTTGGGAATTTGTGGATTTGGGATGGGGCGATTTGGGAACAGGGAATTTGGGATGGGGGGATATGGGGATTTGGGATGGGAACCCCAAGATCAGGGAATTTGGGGTGGGGGATCCCAGGAATAGGGAATTTGGGGTGGGTGGTCCCAGGAACAGGGAATTTGGGATTGGGGGATTTTGGGTGGGAGAAATTGGGGATTTAGGGATTTGGGATGGAGGGCTTTGGGAATTTAGGGTGGGGGATTTGGGATGGGAGAACAGGGGATTTGGAATGGGAGGATTTGGGGATTTGGGATGGGATCTCCTAGGAACAGGGAATTTGGGATTGGGGGATTTGGGATGGAGGATTTGGGAACAGGGAATTTTGGATGGGGCGATTTGGGGATTTGGGGATTTTGGGATTTGGGATGGGGGATTTGGGAATTTGGGGTGGGATCTTCCAGGAACAGGGAATTTGGGATGGAGGTCTCAGGAACAGGGAATTTGGGGTGGGAATTCCCACAAATGGGCAATTTGGGGTAGGAATCTCTCAAGAACAGGGAATTTGGGGTGGGGATTCCAGGAACAGGGAATGTGGGGTGGGATCTCCCAGGAACAGGGAATTTGGGGTGGGATTTCCCGGGAACCCACCGGAAGTGGTAGGTGCCCTCCTTCTGCCCGAAGCCGCTGCCGGGGACGACGCAGATGCCGGTTTCCTCCAGGAGCCGCATGCAGAAGAACATGTCCGGGCTCTGCTTCTTCTCCTGGCAATCGGGGACGCAATTCCGGGGTCGGAAAAACCGGGATCCGATCCCACAGGGGGGCGAGGGATCGCCCCACGCACCCCACGTGGATCGGGATCCATCCCCAGTAAATCCCACGTGGATCGGGATTGATCCCAGTGAGTCACACATGGATCAGGATTGATCCCGATGAGTCCCACATGGATCGGGATTGATCCCAATGGGTCCCACATGGATCAGGATTGATCCCAATGGGTCCCACATGGATCAGGATTGATCCTGATGGTTCCCACATGGATCGGGATTGATCCCAATGAGTCACACATGGATCAGGATTGATCCCAGTGAGTCCCACATGGATCAGGATTGATCCTGATGAGTCACACATGGATCAGGATTGATCCTGATGAGTCCCACATGGATCAGGATTAATCCCAGTGAGTCCCACATGGATCAGGATTGATCCCAGTGAGTCCCACATGGATCAGGATTGATCCCAATGGGTCCCACATGGATCAGGATTGATCCCAGTGAGTCCCACATGGATCAGGATTGATCCCAATGGGTCCCACATGGATCAGGATTGATCCCGATGAGTCCCACATGGATCAGGATTGATCCCAGTGAGTCCCACATGGATCAGGATTGATCCCGATGAGTCCCACATGGATCAGGATTGATCCTGATGAGTCCCACATGGATCAGGATTGATCCCAATGGGTCCCACATGGATCAGGATTGATCCCAGTGAGTCCCACATGGATCAGGATTGATCCTGATGGGTCCCACATGGATCAGGATTGATCCCGATGAGTCCCACATGGATCAGGATTGATCCCAGTGAGTCCCACATGGATCAGGATTGATCCCAGTGAGTCCCACATGGATCGGGATTGATCCCAATGGGTCCCACATGGATCAGGATTGATCCTGATGAGTCCCACATGGATCAGGATTGATCCCGATGAGTCCCACATGGATCAGGATTGATCCCAATGGGTCCCACATGGATCAGGATTGATCCCGATGAGTCCCACATGGATCAGGATTGATCCCAGTGAGTCCCACAACTCCTGGGATTGATCTCACCCAGTCCCACATGGATCAGGATTGATCCCAGTGAGTCCCACATGGATCGGGATTGATCCCGATGAGTCCCACATGGATCAGGATTGATCCTGATGAGTCCCACATGGATCAGGATTGATCCCAATGGGTCCCACATGGATCGGGATTGATCCCGATGAGTCCCACATGGATCAGGATTGATCCCAGTGAGTCCCACATGGATCAGGATTGATCCTGATGAGTCCCACATGGGTCGGGATTGATCCCATCCATCCCCACATCTCCCAGTTGGGATCCTGCCCATCCCAGTTTGGATCCCGTCCATCCCCACATTCCCGGTTCAGATCCCACCCAACCCCACATCTCTAGGTTTGGATCCCATCCCAGTTGGGATTCTGTCCATCCCCACATCTCTTGGTTTGTATCCTGTCCATCCCAACATCTCCCAGTTGGGATTCTTTCCATCACAGGATGGACTCCATCCATCCCAGTTCGGATCCCATCCATTCCCACATCTCCCAGTTGGAACCCTGTGCATCCCAGTTGGGATTCCATCCATCCCAGTTTGCATCCCATCCATCCCAACATCTTCCAGTTGGGATCGCACCCAACCCCACATCTCCATGTTGGGATTCCATCCATCCCAGTTTGCATCCCATCCATCCCAACATGTTCCAGTTGGGATCCCACCCAACCCCACATCTCCATGTTGGGATTCCATCCATCCCAGTTTGCATCCCATCCATCCCAACATCTTCCAGTTGGGATCCCACCCAACCCCACATCTCCATGTTGGGATTCCATCCATCCCACTTGGGATTCCGTCCATTCTAACATCTTCTGGTTGGGATCCAACCCATCCCGACATCTCCCAGTTTGGATCCCATCCATCCCACTTTGGATCCCGTCCATCCCAGTTGGGATCCCGTTGATCCCCACATCTCCAGTTGGGATCTCATCCATCCCAGTTGAGATCCCGTCTGTCCCAGCTGGCACCTTGTCCAACCCCACACCTCCCAGTTGGGATCCCATCACAGGATGGATCCCATCCATCCCAACATGTCCCAGTTGCGACACCGCCCATCCCCAACATCTCCATGCTGCGCTTCCATCCATCCCCCCCCGTTCCTGGTGCAGATCTTGCCCATCCCCAACCTCTCCCGGTTGGGATCCCGTCCATCCCAGTTTGGATCCCGCCCATCCCCGCATTCCCCGTGTGTCTCCTGCTCATCCCAACATCTCCCAGTTGGGATCCCGTCCATCCCAGTTGGGATCCTGTTGATCCCCACATCTCCAGGTTGGGATCCCATCACAGGATGGATCCCGTCCATCCCAACATGTCCCAGTCGGAATCCCATCCATCCCCGTTGGGATCCCACCCATACCAACACCTTCTGGTTGGGATCCAACCCATCCCAACATCTCCCAGTTGGGATCCCACTCATCTCCACATCTCCTGGTTTGGATCCCATCCATCCTCCCGTATCCGGTATGGATCCTGCCCATCCCAACATCTCCCAGTGTGGATCCCGCCCATCCCCACATTCCCGGTTTGGATCAAGCCCATCCCCACATCTGGTTTGGATCCCACCCATCCCAACATCTCCAGGTTGGGATTCTGTCCATCCCACTTCGAATCCCATCCATCTCAACATCTCCCAGTCTGGATCCCACCCTTCCCAACATCTCCTAGTAGGGATCCTGCCCATCCCCCCATTCCCAATGCAGTTCCTGCCCATCCCAACATCTCCAGGTTGGGATTCCATCCATCCCAGTTTGGATCCCCCCATCTCCACATCTCCTGGTTTGGATCCCATCCATCACAGGATGGATCATGTCCATCCCAACATCTCCCAGTTTGGATCCTGCCCATCCCAGCATCTCCAGGCTGGGATTCTGTCCATCCCAGTTGGGATCCTGTCCATCTCAACATCTCCCGGTCTGGATCCCACCCATCCCAACATCTCCCAGTTGGGATCTCGTCCATCGCAGTTGGGGTCCCATATCTCCCAGTTCGGATCAAGGCCATCCCCATATCTCCTGGTTTGGATCCCATCACTGGATGGATCCCATCCATCCCAACATCTCCCAGTTGGGATCCCACCCATCCCCACATCTTCTGGTTTGGATTCCATCCCAGGGAGAATCCTGTCCATCCCAACATCTCCCACTTGGGATCCCGTCCATCCCAGTTGGGATCCCATCCATTCCCGACATTCCTGGCGCGGTTCCCGGCGTGGTTCCCGTACCTTGGCGGCGGCCACGGCGCGGGGCGGCAGGTCGATGCGGGGGAAGGAGTACATGGCGCCCTGCACGGGGTTGCAGTGGATGCCGGGCGTGCGGTTGAAGATCTCCTCCGTCAGCCGCGCCTTCTCCGCCAGCGCGCTCAGCACCGCCTCCTTCTCCTGCAGCGGGGAAAAATGCATGGAATTCCGATCCAGGGCTTCCCATTGGCCCATTGTCCCATTCCATCCCAACCCAACCCACTGTCCCATTGTCAGATTATCCCATCCCATCCCATCCCATCCCATCCCATCCCATCCCATCCCATTCCATTGTCCCATTGTCCCATTGTCCCATTATCCCATCCCATTCCATTGTCCCATTGTCCTCCTCCTCCTGCGCCAGGGAAAACGCATGGAATTCCGATCCAGGGCTTCCCATTGGCCCATTATTGCATCCCATTACCCCATCCCAACCCATCCCATTGTCCCATTGTCCTCCTTCTCCTGCACCAGGAAAACACACGGAATTCTGAGCCAGGACTTTCCATTATCCCATTATCCCACTCCATCCCATTCCATTGTCCTCCTTCTCCTGCACTGGGAAAACGCGCGGAATTCTGAGCCAGGACGTCCCATTGTCCCATTGTCACGTCATCCCATCCCATCCCATCCCATTATCCCATTGTCCTCCTTCTCCTGCACTGGGGAAAATGCACAGAATTCTCATCCAGGGCTTCCCATTGGCCCATTATCCCATCCCATCCCGTCCCACTCCATTGTCCCATTGTCCTCCTTCTCCTGCGCCAGGGAAAACGCACGGAATTCCGATCCAGGGCTTCCCATTGGCCCATTATTGCATCCCATCCCATTCCATTCCACTGTCCCATTGTCCCATCCCATCCCATCCCAACCCACTCCATTGTCCCATTGTCCTCCTCCTGCACTGGGGAAAATGCACAGAATTCTCATCCAGGGCTTCCCATTGGCCCATTATCCCATCCCATCCCATTCCATTGTCCCATTATCCCATCCCATTACCCCATTATCTCATTATCCCATTATCCCATTATCTCATCCCATCTCATCCCATTGTCCCATCCCACTTCCATTATCCCATCCTATTGTCCCTTCCCATTATCCCATTATCCATTATCAAATTATCCCATTATCCAATTACCACATTACCTCTTTATCCCATTCTCTCACCCCATCCCATCATCCCATTTCATCTCATCCCATTGTCCCATTGTCCCATTATCCCACTGTCTCCGCATCTCATCCCATTACCTCATTATCCCATTATCTCATCCCATCCCATTATCCTATCCCCTTATCCCATTATCCCATTCCATTATCCCATTATTCCCTTATCCCCTTATCCCATCACCACATTGTCTAATTATCCCATTATCCCATTATTTCATCCCAATTAAATTCCATCCCACCCCATTATCCCATTATCCCATTATCTCATCATCCCATCCCATTATCCCATTAACCGATCTCATTATCCCACTATCCCACTATCCCATTATCCCATTATGCCATCTCATTATCCCATCCCATTATCTCATTAACCCATCTCATTATCCCACTATCCCATTACCACATTATCCCATTATCACATTATCTCATTATCCCATCATCTCATCCCAATTCCATTCCATCCCATCCTGTTATCTCATTATCCTGTTATCCCATTATCCCAATTCAACTCCATCCCATCCCATTCCCATGCCATTATCCCGTTACCCTGTTATCCCCTTATCTAACCCCAATTCCATTCCATTCCATTCCATTCCATTCCATTCCATTCCATCATTCCATTATCCCACTATCCCATCTGTCATCATACCATTATCCTATCTCCATCCCCATTCCATCCCATTATCCCATTATCCCATTACTGTACTATCCCATTTTGCCATTATCCCATTCTCCCATTCTCCAATTATCCCAATGTCAATCCCCATCCCATTATCCCATCCCATCACCCCGTTATCCCATTACCCCATTACTCCATTACCACATTATCTCATTACCCCATTGTCTCAACCCATCCCATCCCATTATCCCATTATCTCATCCCATCCCAATTAAATTATCCCATCCCATTGTCCCATTATCCTATTACCCCATGACCTCATTATCCCATTATCTCATCCCATTCCAATTCTATTATCCCATCCCATTACCTCATTATCCCATTACCTAATTATCCCATTATCTCATCCCAACCCATCCCATCCTGTTATCCCATTCCATTGTTCCATTTTCCCATCTCATTACCCCATTACCTCATTATCCTATTATCCCATTATTTCATCCTAAATAAATTCCATCCCATCCCATCCCATTATCCCATCACCACATTACCTCATTATCCTATTATCCCATTATCTCATCCCAATTAAATTCCATTCCATCCCATCCCATCCCATTATCCCACCCCATTATCTCACCCCACTATCCCATTCCCATTCCATTATCCCATTATCCCATTATCCCATTATCCCATTATCAGATTATCCCATCCCAATTCCATTCCCATCCCATTATCCCATTATCCCATTATCCCATTATCCCATTATCCCATTGTCCCATTGTCCCATTGTCCCATTATCCCATCCCAATACCATTCCCATCCCATTATCCCATTATCCCATTATCCCATTATCCCATTATCCCATCCCAATTCCATTCCATCCCATCATCCCATTATCCCACCATTCTGTTCTCCCATTCTCCCATTCTCTCATCCCAATGAGATAATTCCATTCCATTCCATCCCATTTTCCCATTATCCCAATCTCAATTTCCATCCCATTACCCCATTTTCCCATTATCCCACTTTCTCATTACCCTATTCTTCCATTATCCCATTATCCCAATCTCAATCCCCATCCCATACTGTTATCCCATTATCCCAATCCCACCCCACCACTCCATACTGCCTGGAAGTGCTCACAGGACAGGTTTGGGTGGACCCCACTCCCATGGGTCCCATCCCATGGATCCCATCCTAACCCCAATCCCAATCCCACGGGTCCCATCCCATCCCAATCCCATGGATTCCAATCCCAATCCCATGGCCCCGTACCCCCTGGAAGCGCTCGTAGGACGGGTCCATGGCCATGGATCCCACCCCATCGATCCCAACCCAAATCCCATGGATCCCATGGATCCCAATCCCATGGATCCCATCCCAATCCCACAGCTCCGTACCGCCTGGAAGCGCTCGTAGGACGGCTCTCCAGGCTGGGGCGGGTCCATGACCATGGATCCCACCCTCAATCCCAAGGATCCCAACCCCAATCCCATGGATCCCAATCCCATGGATCCCAAGATCTCCGTACCGCCTGGAAGCGCTCGTAGGACGGCTCTCCAGGCTGGGGCGGGTCCATGACCATGGATCCCACCCTCAATCCCAAGGATCCCAACCCCAATCCCATGGATCCCAATCCCATGGATCCCAAGATCTCCGTACCGCCTGGAAGCGCTTGTAGGACGGCTCTCTGCGTTTGGGTGGATCTCATCCCATTAATCCTACCCCATGGATCCCATCCCACCCCATGGATCCCATCCCAATCCCAAGGATCCTAATCCCAACCCCATGGATCTCACCCCATCCTGCCACCCCGGACCACCTGGAAGCACTTGTAGGATGGGTTTGGGCAGATCCATGACCATGGATCCCATCCCACCCCATGGATCCCACCTCAATCCCAATCCCATGGATCCCAATCCCAAGGATCTCAATCCCAATCCCATGGATCCCAATCCCTTCCCCAATCCAAATCCCGTGGATCCCATCTCAATCCCAATCCCCAATCCCATCCCCAATCCTATCCCAAATCCCATGGATCCCACCCTAATCCCAATCCCATGGATCCCATCCCAATCCCATGGATCCCAATCCCAAGGATCTCAATCCCAATCCCATGGATCCCAATCCCATGGATCCCAATGTCTCCGTACCGCCTGGAAGCGCTCGTAGGACGGCTCCCCGGGCTGGGGCGGGTCCATGGCCATGGATCCCATCCCATGGACCCCATCCCATCCCAATCCCAATGCCATTCACAATCCCATGGATCCCAATCCTGATCCCAATCCCAATCCCAAGGATCCCAATCCCATGGATCCCAATCCTGCCGCCCTGTACCACGTGGAAGTGCTCGTAGGACAGATTTGGGCAGGTCCATGACCATGGATCCCAATCCCACAGATCCCATCCCATGGATCCCATCCCAATCCCATGGATCCCAATCCCACGGATCCCATCCCATGGATCCCACCCCAATCCCATGGATCCCAATCCCAATCCCATGGATCCCATCCCATGGATCCCAATGTCTCTGTACCGCCTGGAAGCGCTCGTAGGACGGCTCCCCGGGCTGGGGTGGGTCCACGACCGTGGATCCCATCCCATGGATCCCACCCCAATCCCATGGATCCCAATCCCATGGATCCCAATCCCACGGATCCCATCCCATGGATCCCACCCCAATCCCATGGATCCCAATCCCAATCCCATGGATCCCATCCCAAGGATCCCAATGTCTCCGTACCGCCTGGAAGCACTCGTAGGACGGCTCTCCGGGCTTGGGCGGGTCCATGACCATGGATCCCAATCCCATGGATCCCATCCCAATCCCATGGATCCCAATCCCATGGATCCCAATCCCATGGATCCCACCCCAATCCCATGGATCCCAATCCCATGGATCCCATCCCAAGAATCCAAATGTCTCCGTACCGCCTGGAAGCACTCGTAGCACGGCCCTCCGGGCTTGGGCAGGTCCATGACCATGGATCCCATCCCATGGATCCCATCCCAATCCCATGGATCCCAATCCCATGGATCCCAATCCCACGGATCCCATCCCATGGATCCCACCCCAATCCCATGGATCCCAATCCCATGGATCCCATCCCATGGATCCCATCCCATGGATCCCACCCCAATCCCATGGATCCCAATCCCACGGATCCCATCCCATGGATCCCATCCCAATCCCATGGATCCCAATCCCATGGATCCCATCCCAAGGATCCCAATGTCTCCGTACCGCCTGGAAGCGCTCGTAGGACGGCTCTCCGGGCTTGGGCAGGTCCATGACCATGGATCCCATCCCATGGATCCCATCCCAATCCCATGGATCCCAATCCCATGGATCCCAATCCCATGGATCCCATCCCAATCCCATGGATCCCAATCCCATGGATCCCATCCCATGGATCCCATCCCAATCCCATGGATCCCAATCCCATGGATCCCAATCCCATGGATCCCATCCCAATCCCATGGATCCCAATCCCATGGATCCCATCCCATGGATTCCACCCCAATCCCATGGATCCCAATCCCAATCCCATGGATCCCATCCCATGGATCCCATCCCAATCCCATGGATCCCAATCCCAATCCCATGGATCCCAATCCCAAGGATCCCAATGTCTCCGTACCGCCTGGAAGCGCTCGTAGGACGGCTCTCCGGGCTTGGGCGGGTCCACGATGGTGTCCAGGATCATCTGCCCGGGCACGGGCGGGCACAGACGGACGGACACGAGCTTGATGAGCTCGGCCTTCACCTCGGGGTGCAGGTTCACCACCTCCATGTACCCACCGCGCAGGCCGCACCTGCGGGACGCGCCCGGATCAACCCGGAATGCCGGGAATGCCGGGAATGGGGATGGGGATGGGGCGGGCGGTGGGAGATGGGGGTGGTACCCGTGGGTGGGGTTTGGGATGGGATCCATGGATGGGAACCTATAGAGAGGGACCTATGGATGAGACATGTGGGTGGGATTTGTGGGTGGGATCCATGGGTAGGAACTTATGGAGAAGGATCCATGGATGGGATCCATGGATGGGGGTTTGGGATGGGAATCCATGGATAGGAACCTTTGGAGAGGCACCCATGGATGGGATCCATGGATGGGGGTTTGGGATGGGATCCATGGATAGGAACCTTTGGAGAGGCACCCATGGATGGGATCCATGGATGGGGGTTTGGGATGGGATCCATGGATAGGAACCTTTGGAGAGGCACCCATGGATGGGATCCATGGATGGGGGTTTGGGATGGGATCCATGGATAGGAACCTTTGGAGAGGCACCCATGGATGGGATCCATGGATGGGGGTTTGGGATGGGATCCATGGATAGGAACCTTTGGAGAGGCACCCATGGATGGGATCCATGGATGGGGGTTTGGGATGGGAATCCATGGATAGGAACCTTTGGAGAGGCACCCATGGATGGGATCCATGGATGGGGGTTTGGGATGGGATCCATGGATAGGAACCTTTGGAGAAGGATCCATGGATGGGAGAGGGGGGTGGGAATACATGGAAATACATGGAGAAGGATCCATGGATGAGATCCATGGATGGGAACCTATGGAGAAGCACCCATGGATGGGATCCATGGATGGGAACCTATGGAGAAGCACCCATGGGTGGGATCCATGGACAGGAACCTTTGGAGAGGCACCCATGGGTGGGAGATGTGGGTGGGATCCATGGATCAAGATCCATGGATGGGTGTTTGGGATGGGATCCATGGATAGGAACCTATGGACAGGCACTCATGGATGGGAACATATGGAGAAGCGCCCATGGGTGGGATCCATGGATTGGAACCTTTGGAGAAGAATCCATGGATGAAGATCCATGGATGGGATCCATAGATGGGAATCCATGGATAGAAACCTTTGGAGAAGGACCCATGGATGGGACACATGGATGGGAATCCATGGATGGGAACCATTGGAGAGGCACCCATGGATGGGATCCATGGATGGGAACCTTTGGAGAAGGACCCATGGACGGGACTCATGGATGGGATCCATAGACAGGATCCATGGATGGGGGTTTGGGATGGGATTCCATGGATAGGAACCTTTGGAGAGGCACCCATGGGTGGGAGATGTGGGTGGAACCCATGGATGGGGGTTTGGGATGGGATCCATGGATAGGAACCTATGGAGAGGCACTCATGGATGGGAATCTATGGAGAAGCACCCATGGATGGGATCCATGGATTGGAACCTTTGGAGAAGAATCCATGGACAGGAGATGTGGGTGGGATTAATGGGTGGGATCCATGGATGGGACCCATGGATAGGAACCTTTGGAGGAGGACCCATGGATAGGATCCATGGATGGGACCCATGGATAGGAACCTTTGGAGAAGGACCCATGGATGGGATCCATGGATGGGACCCATGGATAGGAACCTTTGGAGAAGGACCCATGGGTGGATCCATGGGATCCATGGATGGGAACCCATGACATCCATGAGGTGGTGGCAACTCCATCCCAACCCGTAACTCCACCCCCAGGAGATCCATGGGGTGGTGGCACCTCCATCCCCAATCCATGACATCCATGACCCCATCCCCAGCAGATCCATGGGGTGGTGGTAACATCTCCATCTCCAATCCCTGACATCCATGAGGATTGTCCAACCCCAGCAGATCCATGGGGTGGTGGCACCTCCACCCCCAATCCATGATCCATGGATCCCATCCATGACAGCCCATGACCCCAACCCCAGCAGATCCATGGGGCGGTGGTGGCACCTCCATCTCCAATCCATGACCCCACCCCCAGCAGATCTATGGGGTGGTGACATCTCCATCCCAAATCCAGGGTCCATGGATCCCATCCATGACAACCCATGACCCCAACCCCATCCCCAGCAGATCCATGGGGTGGTGGTGACATCTCCATCCCAATCCATGACCTCAACCCCAGCAGATCCATGGGGTGATGGTGACATCTCCATCCCAAATCCATGATCCATGGATCCCATCCATGACAATCCATGACCCCAACCCCATCCCCAGCAGATCCATGGGGTGGTGGTGACACCTCCATCTCCAATCCATGACCCCAGCCCCAGCAGATCCATGGGATGGTGGTCTCTCCATCCAAATCCATGACATCCATGGGGTGGTGGCACCTCCATCCCAAATCTATGATCCATGACATCCATGGCAATCCTTGATCCCAACCCCAGCAGATCCATGGGCTGATGTGACACCTCCATCCCCAATCCATGACCCCAGTCCCACCCCCAGCAGACCCATGGGGTGGTGGTGGCACCTCCATCCCAATCCATGACCCCAACCCCAACCCCAGCAGATCCATGGGGTGGTGGTGACATCTCCATCCCCAATCCATGACCCCAGTCCCACCCCCAGATCCATGGGGTGGTGACATCTCCATCCCAAATCCATGGTCCATGGATCCCATCCATGACAACCCATGACCCCAACCCCACCCCCAGGAGATCCATGGGGTGGTGGTGGCACCTCCATCCCCAATCCATGACCCCAACCCCAACCCCAGCAGATCCATGGGGTGGTGGTGACATCTCCATCCCCAATCCATGACCCCAGTCCCACCCCCAGATCCATGGGGTGGTGACATCTCCATCCCAAATCCATGGTCCATGGATCCCATCCATGACAACCCATGACCCCAACCCCACCCCCAGGAGATCCGTGGGCCCGTGGTGACCTTGCCCGCACTCACTCTCCCATGAAGCCCTTGGAGGTGGAGTGGAAGGAGGCCAGCTCCACCGAGTCCGAGTAGGGCGGCCCCAGCTCCATCAGGACCTTCTTGAAGGAGTGGAAGGCCGAGCCCTGGGCCCAGATGTTGTCCTGGTACACCTGGCACGGGGACGAGGGGACAGCCGGGATGTCACCGCGGGAATTCCGGCCGTTCCCGGGAACGGGGGACACGCCCCCGGGCCAGCCCGGCCCCGCCCACCTCATCGGCCAGCAGGAAGAGCTTCTCCTCGTAGGCGAACTTGATGACCTGCTCCATGCACTCGCGGCTCTGCACCTGGCCTGGGACAACCGCGGGGCTCAGCCCACCGGGACACAACGTGGTCCCACCACAGGGATCCCACCCCATAGATCCCACCGAGAAACTCCATGGGTCCCACCACAGGGATCCCACCCCATGGATCCCACCCGAGATACTCCATGGGTCCCACCACAGGGATCCCACCCCATGGATCCCACCCGAGATACTCCATGGGTCCCACCACAGGGATCCCACCCCATGGATCCCACCGAGAAACTCCATGGGTCCCACCACAGGGATCCCACCGAGACACTCCATGGGTCCCACCACAGGGATCCCACCCCATGGATCCCACCGAGAAACTCCATGGGTCCCACCACAGGGATCCCACCCCATGGATCCCACCCGAGATACTCCATGGGTCCCACCACAGGGATCCCACCGAGACACTCCATGGGTCCCACCACAGGGATCCCACCGAGACACTCCATGGGTCCCACCACAGGGATCACACCTCACCCCATGGATCCCACCCGAGATACTCTATGGGTCCCACCACAGGGATCCCACCCCATGGATCCCACCCGAGATACTCCATGGGTCCCACCACAGGGGTCTCATCCCACCGAGATACACCATGGGTCCCACCACAGGGATCCCACTGAGACAGTCCATGGGTCCCACCACAGGGATCCCACCCCATGGATCCCACCGAGAAACTCCATGGGTCCCACCACAGGGATCCCATGGATCCCATCCCATGGATCCCACTGAGACACACCATGGGTCCCACCACAGAGATCCCATGGATCCCACCCCACAGGTCCCATCCCACCGAGATACTCCATGGGTCCCACCACAGGGATCCCACCGAGATACACCATGGGTCCCACCACAGGGATCCCACTGAGACACACCATGGGTCCCACCACAGGGATCCCACCGAGATACACCATGGTTCCCACCACAGGGATCCCACCGAGATACACCATGGGTCCCACCACAGGGATCTCATCCCATGGATCCCACTCCACAGGTCTCACCCCACCGAGATACACCATGGGTCCCACCCCATAGATCCCATGGATCCCACCGAGATGCACCATGGGTCCCACCACAGGGATCCCATCCCATCCCATCCCACCACATGGGTCCCATCCCATGGATCCCACCCCATGGGTCACATCCCACCTGAGATACTCCATGGGTCCCACCACAGGGATCCCATCCCACCCTATGGATCCCACCCCATGGATCCCAACCCACAGATCCCACAGACACCACCCCCTGGATCCCACCCCTGGTGTCCTACCCCATCCCACCCCATGCATCCCATCCCATGGATCCCACCTCAGATATGCCACCCCACAGACTCCATAGATCCCGTCCCATGGATCCCACCCCACGGATCGCACCCCATGGATCCCACCTCAGATGTCCCACCCCATGGATCCCACCCCATGGATCCCATCCCATGGATCCCATCCCACGGATCGCACCCCATGGATCCCACCTCAGATGTCCCACCCCATGGATCCCACCCCATGGATCCCATCCCATGGATCCCATCCCACGGATCGCACCCCATGGATCCCACCTCAGATGTCCCACCCCATGGATCCCACCCCATGGATCCCATCCCATGGATCCCATCCCACGGATCGCACCCCATGGATCCCACCTCAGATGTCCCACCCCATGGATCCCACCCCATGGATCCCATCCCACGGATCCCATCGCACAGACCCCACCCCACATGTCTCACCCCACAGTACCCACAAATCCCAGCTCATGGATCCCACCTCAGATATCCCACCCCACAGACCCCACAGATCCCATGCAACGGATCCCACCTTAGATATCCAACCCCTCAGACTCCATGGGTCCCATCCCGTGGATCCCACCTCAGATAATCCCACCCCACAGACCCCATCCCATGGATCCCATCTCCGATATCCCATCCCATGGATTCCATCCCATGGATCCCACCCCACAGACCCCACAGACCTGACAGGTCCCATCCCACGGATCCCACCTCAGATATCCCACCCCGGGTGAGCCACCCCATGGATCCCACCCCACAGACCCCATGGATCCCACCCCATGTGTCCCACCCCACAGACCCTGGACCCCAGTTGTCCCACCCCACAGACCCCATAGACCCCATCCCAGGTGTCCCACCAATCCCACCCCACAGACCCCATGGATCCCATTCCAGCCTATATTTCCCACCCCATGGGTCCCACCTCACATATCCCACCCCACAGACTCCACAGATCCCGTCCCATGGATCCCACCCCACGGATCCCATCCCACGGATCCCACCCCACAGACCCCACCCCACAGACCCCATCGCACAGACCCCATCCCACATGTCTCACCCCACAGTACCCACAAATCCCACCCCATGGGTCCCACCTCAGATATCCCACCCCACAGACCCCACCCAATGGACTCCACCCCACAGACCCAGAGATCCCATCCCATGGATCCCACCCCACAGACCTCATCCCACGTGTCCCACCCCACAGACCCCACGTGTCCCACCCCACAGACCCCATGGATCCCACCCCACAGAACCCGGACCCCAGGTATCCCACCCCACAGACCCCATAGATCCCACCTCAGATATTCCACCCCACAGACCCCACAGACTCCCCGTGTCCCACCCCACAGACCCCATGGATCCCACCCCACATGTCCCACGCCACAGACCCCATAGATCCCACCTTAGATATCCCACCCCACAGACCCCATCCCACAGATCCCACCCCACAGACCCCATGGATCCTATCCCATGGATCCCACCCCACAGACCCCACAGACCCTGGACCCCAGATATCCCACCCCACAGACCCCATAGATCCCACCTCAGATATTCCACCCCACAGACCCCACAGACTCCCCGTGTCCCACCCCACAGACCCCATGGATCCCACCCCACATGTCCCACGCCACAGACCCCATAGATCCCACCTTAGATATCCCACCCCACAGACCCCATCCCACAGATCCCACCCCACAGACCCCATGGATCCTACCCCATGGATCCCACCCCACACACCCCACAGACCCTGGACCCCAGGTGTCCCACCCCACAGACCCCACCCCATGGATCCCACCCCCCGTGTCCCACCCCACAGACCCCCACAGATCACACTCCACAGACCCCACAGACCCCTCCCCACAGATCCCACCCCACAGCCCCCACCACCCGTGTCCCGCCCCACAGACGCCTCCCCATAGATCCCGCCCCACAGCCCCCCCAGACCCCGATGCCCCCTCGGTTACCGGTGGGGTTGCCGGGGTTGATGATGCAGAGCGCGCGGGGGTTGCAGCGCCGGCGGCCCTCGGACAGCGCCCGGCGCAGCTCGGCCACGTCCAGCGCCCAGCAGCGCTCCTCGGCCAGGTAGTAATTCACCTGCGCCGCCTCCAGCTCGGCCAGCGCCGCCGAGTACAGCGGGTACTGCGGGATCGGGATCAGCACCCCCGTGCGCGACGCGCCCGAGCCGCACACCAGCAGCTTCAGCATGTTCTGGGGGGGACACACAGAGGGGACAGTGAGGGGACAGCGAGGGGACAGTGAGGGTGTGGGATAGGGGACAGCGAGGGGACAGCGCCGCCGGGGACAGCGGGTACTGCGGGATCGGGATCAGCCCGAGCCGCACACCAGCAGCTTCAGCATGTTCTGGGGGGACACACAGAGGGGACAGCGAGGGGACAGTCAGGGGACAGCGAGGGTGTGGGATAGGGGACAGTCAGGGGACAGCGCCGCCGGGGACAGCGGGTACTGCGGGATCGGGATCAGCCCGAGCCGCACACCAGCAGCTTCAGCATGTTCTGGGGGGACACAGAGGGGACAGTGAGGGGACAGCGAGGGGACAGTGAGGGTGTGGGATAGGGGACAGCGAGGGGACAGCGCCGCCGGGGACAGCGGGTACTGCGGGATCGGGATCAGCACCCCCGTGCGCGACGCGCCCGAGCCGCACACCAGCAGCTTCAGCATGTTCTGGGGGGACACACAGAGGGGACAGTGAGGGGACAGCGAGGGGACAGCGAGGGGACAGCGAGGGTGTGGGATAGGGGACAGCGAGGGGACAGCGCCGCCGGGGACAGCGGGTACTGCGGGATCGGGATCAGCACCCCCGTGCGCGACGCGCCCGAGCCGCACACCAGCAGCTTCAGCATGTTCTGGGGGGACACACAGAGGGGACAGTGAGGGGACAGCCAGGGGACAGCGAGGGGACAGCGAGGGTGTGGGACAGGGGACAGCCAGGGGACAGCGCCGCCGGGGACAGCGGGTACTGCGGGATCGGGATCAGCACCCCCGTGCGCGACGCGCCCGAGCCGCACACCAGCAGCTTCAGCATGTTCTGGGGGGACACAGAGGGGACAGTGAGGGGACAGCGAGGGTGTGGGATAGGGGACAGCGAGGGGACAGCGCCGCTGGGGACAGCGGGTACTGCGGGATCGGGATCAGCCCGAGCCGCACACCAGCAGCTTCAGCATGTTCTGGGGGGACACACAGAGGGGACAGTGAGGGGACAGCCAGGGGACAGTGAGGGTGTGGGACAGGGGACAGCGAGGGGACAGCGCCGCCGGGGACAGCGGGTACTGCGGGATCGGGATCAGCCCGAGCCGCACACCAGCAGCTTCAGCATGTTCTGGAGGGGACAGAGAGGGGACAGCGAGGGGACAGCCAGGGGACAGCGAGGGGACAGTCAGGGGACAGTCAGGGGACAGCGCCGCCGAGTACAGCGGGATCGGGATCAGCGCCCCCGTGCACGACGCGCCCGAGCCGCACACCAGCAGCTTCAGCATGTTCTGGGGGGGACAGAGAGGGAACAGTGAGGGGACAGCCAGGGGACAGCGAGGGGACAGTCATGGGGTGGGAATCGGGACATGGAGGGAACAATCAGGGGACAGTAAGGGGGTGGGGATTGGGATATGGAGGGGACAGAGAGGGGACATTGAGGAGACAGAGTGGGGTGAGAATCAGGACACGGAGGGGGACAGAGAGGGGACAATCACGGGATGGGAATTGGGACATGAAGGGGACATGGAGGGGACAGTCACGGGGGACACTGAGGGGACAGCGGGTACTGCGGGATCGGGATCAGCGCCCCCGTGCGCGACGCGCCCGAGCCGCACACCAGCAGCTTCAGCATGTTCTGGGGGGACACAGAGAGGGGACAGTGAGGGGACAGCCAGGGGACAGCGAGGGGACAGTCAGGGGACAGCGCCGCCGAGTACAGCGGGATCGGGATCAGCCCGAGCCGCACACCAGCAGCTTCAGCATGTTCTGGGGGGGACAGAGAGGGAACAGTGAGGGGACAGCGAGGGGACAGCGAGGGGACAGTCAGGGGACAGCGCCGCCGAGTACAGCGGGTACTGCGGGATCGGGATCAGCACCCCCGTGCGCGACGCGCCCGAGCCGCACACCAGCAGCTTCAGCATGTTCTGGGGGAACACAGAGGGGACAGTGAGGGGACAGTCATGGGGCGGGAATCGGGACATGGAGGGGGAAGTGAGGGAACGGAGAGGGGACAGCACGGGGATGGGCTGAGGTGGGAATTGAGATATGGAGGGGACAGAGAGGGGACATTGAGGAGACAGAGTGGGGTGGGAATCAGGACACAGAGGGGGACAAGGAGGGGACAATCAGGGGGCGGGATGGGGGACAACAAGGGGACGGAGAGGGGACATTTAGGGGTCAGAGTGGGGTGGGAATCAGGACACGGAGGGGGACAGAGAGGGGACAATCACGGGATGGGAATTGGGACATGAAGGGGACATGGAGGGGACAGTCACGGGTGACCCCGAGGGGACAGCGGGTACTGCGGGATCGGGATCAGCGCCCCCGTGCGCGACGCGCCCGAGCCGCACACCAGCAGCTTCAGCATGTTCTGGGGGGACACAGAGGGGACAGTGAGGGCAGTGAGGGGACAGCGAGGGTGTGGGATAGGGGACAGCGAGGGGACAGCGCCGCCGGGGACAGCGGGTACTGCGGGATCGGGATCAGCCCGAGCCGCACACCAGCAGCTTCAGCATGTTCTGGGGGGACACACAGAGGGGACAGTGAGGGGACAGCGAGGGGACAGCGAGGGGACAGCGAGGGGGACAGTCAGGCCGCGAGATGGGGGACAATCAGGAAACAGAGAGGGGACAATCAGGATGTGGGGATGGGGACATGGAGAGGGCAGCCAGGGCACAGAGAGAGGACAGCGAGGGGATGGGTTGGGGTGGGACTCAGGACATGGAGGGGACAGTGAGGGGACAGAGAGGGGACATTGAGGGGTCAGAGAGGGGTGGGAATCAGGACATGGAGGGGACAATCACTGGGTGGGGATAGGGACATGGAGGGGACAGCAAGGGGACAGTCAGGGGACAGTCATGGGGCAGGATGGGGGACATGGAGGGGACAATCAGGGGGTGCGGATTGGGACATGGAGGGGACACTGAGGGGACAGCGAGGAGTCAGAGAGGGGCGGGAATCGGGACGTGGAGGGCAGAGAGAGGGGATGGGTTGGGGTGGGAATCAGGACATAGAGGGGGCAGCGAGGGGACAGTGAGGGGACAATGAGGGGACAATGAGATCGTGGCATGGGGGACAGCGAGGGGAGGGAGAGGGGACATTGAGGGGCCAGAGAGGGGCGGGGATCGGGACATGGAGGGGACAGAGCAGGGACAGAGAGGGGACAATCACGGGATGGGAATCGGGACATGGAGGGGACACTGAGGGGACAGCGAGGAGTCACAGAGGGGCGGGGATCGGGACACGAGGGAGGGGACAGAGCAGGGACAGAGGGGGGACAATCAGAGAGTGGCATGGGGGACAGAGAGGGGATGGAGTGGGGACATTGAGGGGTCAGAGAGGGGCGGGGATCGGGACATGGAGGGGACAATCAGGGGATGGCAATCGGGACATTGAGGGGTCAGGGAGGGGCGGGGATCAAGATATGGAGGGGACAGCGAGGGGACAATCACGGCGTGGGAATCGGGACATGGAGGGGACAGAGAGGGGACATCGGGGGTCAGAGAATCGGGATGTGGAGGGGACAATGAGGGGACAGTGAGGGGATGGGTTGAGGTGGGAATCAGGACATTGAGGGGACAGAGTGGGGTGGGAATCAAGACATGGAGGGGACAATCAGGGGACAATCACGGGGTGGGATGGGGGACAGTGAGGGGACAATGAGGGGACAGGTTGGGGTGGGAATCAGGACATTGTGGGGACAGTGAGGGGACAGTGAGGGGACGGGTTGAGTTGGGGACCAGGACATTGAGGGGACAATGAGGGGACAGCAAGGGGACACCGTGGGGTGGGAATCAAGACATTGAGGGGACAGTGAGGGGACAATCAGGGATGGGTTGTGGTGGCAATCAGGACATTGAGGGGACAGTGAGGGGACACCATGAAGTGGCTATCAGGACATCGTGGGGACATTGAGGGGACAGCAAGGGGACAGAGTGGGGTGGGCATGGGGACAATGAGGGGACAGCACAGTGAGTACAGGGGACAGTGGGGACAATGGGGGGACAGAGGGACTCGGGGGGGAGGACATCCCGGGGACAACCGGACGGTGGCACGCGAGTGACAGCGAGGTGACACCGCCCTGCTGTCCCCAGCACAGCGCCACCATCGCCACGGCAACCGCACGGCCCCGGCGACACCGCGGGGAGCTGGCACTGTCCCCAGGGGGGGCGCGGGGACACCAAGTGCCACCACCCCCGAGTGCCACCACCCCCCCTCCCCCTCGAGCGACACAAAGGTCCCTTTGTCACCGCCCGCCGTGGGAACGGCCTGGGGGTGGCACCGAGCCCGGGGGGTGGCACCGAGCCCGGTGTCCCCTCGGTGTCCCCGGGATGTCGCGGGATGGGGGAGGTGGAACCGGTGTCCCCGGGATGGAGTTGGTGGCACCGGTGTCCCCGAGATGTGGCGGGGGTGGTGGCACCGCGCTCGGTGTCCCCGGCGGTGTGGCGGGATGGAGGGGTGGTGGCATTGGTGTCCCCGGGCTGTCACAGGGCAGGGTTGGTGTCTCCGGTGTCCCCGGGCTGTCACAGGGATGGTGTCCCCGGTGTCCCCGGGCTGTCACAGGGCAGGGTTGGTGTCCCCGGGCTGTCACAGGGCAGGGTTGGTGTCCCCGGTGTCCCCGGGCTGTCACAGGGTTGGTGTCCCCGCTGTCCCCTGGTTGTCACAGGGATGGTGTCCCCGGTGTCCCCTGGTTGTCACAGGGATGGTGTCCCCGATGTCCCCGGGCTGTCACAGGGTTGGTGTCCCCGGGATGGGGTTGGTGTCCCCGGGCTGTCACAGGGTTGGTGTCCCCGGTGTCCCCGGGCTGTCACAGGGATGGGGTTGGTGTCCCCGGTGTCCCCGGGCTGTCACAGGGTTGGTGTCCCCGGGATGGGGTTGGTGTCCCCGGGCTGTCACAGGGATGGTGTCCCCGCTGTCCCCGGGCTGTCACAGGGATGGGGTTGGTGTCACCGCTGTCCCCGGGCTGTCACAGGGCAGGGTTGGTGTCCCCGCTGTCCCCGGTGTCCCCGGTGTCCCCGGGGCGGGGCAGGGGGCGTGGCCGTGTCGCGGCGGTGTCGCCGTACCACGATGGCGTCGCTGGCGCCCGTGGACAGGAAGATGTCGTCGGCCTTGGCGGGGACGCCGCCGTCGCGGCGCTCGATGTAGCGCGCCACGCTCTCGCGCACCATCTGCACCCCGGGGCTGGCGCTGTACGAGCCTGGGGACACGGGGGACAGCACACTGTCACCTCCCCGCGCCCGGGCTGGTGGCACTTTCATCGGGTGGTGGCACTTCACCGGGTAGTGGGGACATTGGGACGGAGGGGGACAGAGGACACCTGGGGTGTTGGGGATGTTGGGGACATCGGGAATGTTAGGGGACATTGGGGTCATTGGGGATATTGGGGACACTGGGGACAGCGGCACTGTCACCTCCCCGCGCCCGGGCTGGTGGCACTTTCATCGGGTGGTGGCACTTCACCGGGTAGTGGGGACATTGGGACGGAGGGGGACAGAGGACACCTGGGGTGTTGGGGATGTTGGGGACATTGGGGAGACATTTGGGACATTGGGGACATTGGGGGGGTGGGGGACACGGGGGACAGCGGCACTGTCACCTCCCCATCCCCGGAGTGGCACTTCATCACTGGGTGGTGGCACTTCATCGGGTGGGGGGGACATCGGGGTGGGAGGGGGACAGAGGACACCTGGGGGTATGGGGATGTTGGGGACATTGGGGAGACATTTGGGACATTGGGGACATTGGGGGGGTGGGGGACACGGGGGACATTGGGGGACGTTGGGGATGTTGGGGGACATTGGGGATATTTGGGATATTGGGGACATTGTGGGGACATTGTGGATGTTGGGGGACACTGGGGTCATTGGGGATATTGGGGACACGGGGGACAGCCGCACTGTCACCTCCCCATCCCCTGGGGGGTGGCACCTCACTGGGTGGGGGGGACATCGGGGTGGAGGGGGGACAGAGGACACCTGGGGTGTTGGGACTTGGGGACATTGGGAATGTTAGGGACATCAGGGACATTGGGGGGCATTGGGGACATTGGGGATATTGGGGACTTTGGAGGTATTGGGGACATTGAGGGACATTGGGGACAGCCACACCGTCACCTCCCCATCCCCGGAGTGGTGGCACTTCCCCCGGTGGTGGCACTTCATCGGGTGGGGGGGACATTGGGATGGAGGGGGACAGAGGACACCTGGGGCATGGGGATGTTGGGGACATTGGGGAGACATTTGGGACATTGGGGACATTTGGGACATTGGGGACATTTGGGACGTTGGGGGCATTGGGGACATTGGGGACATTGGGGACATTTGGGACGTTGGGGGCATTGGGGACACTGGGGACATTGGGGACACTGGGGACATTGGGGGCATTGGGGACATTGGGGACATTGGGGGGCATTGGGGACAGTGGGGACATTGAGGGGGTGGGGGACATTGGGGACATTGGGGAAATTGGGGGGATGTTGGGGACATTGGGGAGACATTTGGGATATTGGGGACATTTGGGACATTGGGGACATTTGGGACGTTGGGGGCATTGGGGACACTGGGGACATTTGGGACATTGGGGACATTGGGGATTTTGGGACATTGAGATATTGGGGACATTGGGGTCACTGGAGATGTTGGGGACATTGGGGACAGGGGAGACATTGGGGGGACACTGGAGATATTGGGAAATTTGGGATATGGGGACATTGGGGGGACATTGGGGACATTTGGGGCATCGGGGACACTGGGGACATTGGGGACATTGGGGATATTTGGGGATGTTTGGGATATTGGGGACATTGGGGATATTTGGGACGTTTAGGGCATTGGGGGAATTGGGGACATCGGGGGGACATTGGGGACATTGGGAGAATCGGGGACATTGGGGGACATTGGGGGACATTGGGGGACATTGGGGACATTGGGGACATTGGGAGAATCGGGGACATTGGGGGACATTGGGGGACATTGGGGACATTGGGGGAATCGGGGACATTGGGGGACATTTGGGACGTTAGGGGTACGTTGGGCACTGGAGACATTGGGGACACTGCGGGGACGTTGGGGACATTGGGGACATTGGGGATGGGTGGAGTTGGGTGCTGGGATTTGGGATTTTGGGGTTTCGGGGATTTTGGGGGTTTGTTGGGTGCAGAATTTTTTGGGTTTTGGGGTCGGTGGATTTTGGGATTTTGGGGTGTGTGGGATTTTGGGGTTTTGTTGGATTTGGGATTAAGGGATTTTAGGATTTTCAGTGTTGAATTTGGGATTTTGGGGTTTTCTGGGTTCGGGGATTTCGGGGTTTGCAGATGCTGGGTTTGGAATTTCGAGGTTTATGGGATTTTGGGGTGTCGGGGTTTTGGGGTTTGTTGGGTTTGGGATTTTGGCATTTGGGATTTGGGATTAGGGGACTTGGGGATTTTGGGATTTGGGATGTTGGGATTTTGGGGTGTTAGATTAGGGCTTTTGGGGTTTGTTGGATTTGGGATTTGGTATTTTGGAGTTTGGGATTTGGGATTTTGGAGTTTGATTTGGGATTTGTGGGATTTTGGGGTGTGTGTGATTTTGGGATTTGTTGGATTTGGGATTTTGCAATTTTGGGATTTGGGATTTTGGGGTTGGTTGGTTTTGGGGTTTATGGGATATTGGGATGTTGGGATTTCGGGATTTTTTGGATTTGGGATTTTAGGGTTTGTGGGATTTTGGGGTTTTGGGGATTTTGAGATTTGGGATTTTGGGATTTGGGGGATTTTGCGGGTTTTTTGGGTGCCCCTGACCTACGCTGTGTCCCCTGCCTGGGGTGCGGTTTGTGTGGGATTTTGGGGTTTGGGATTTTGGGATTTGCTGGATTTTGAGATTTGGGGTTTGAAACTTTGGGATTTTGGGCTTTTGGGGTGTCGGGATTTTGGGATTTATGATTTGGGGTTTGTTTGAATTGGGATTTTGGGCTTGTTTTGGGGTGTTTTGGATTTGGGATTTGGGATTTTGGGCTTGTTTTGGGGTGTTTTGGATTTGGGATTTTGGGCTTGTTTTGGGGTGTTTTGGATTTGGGATTTGGGGCTTGTTTTGGGGTGTTTTGGATTTGGGATTTTGGGCTTGTTTTGGGGTGTTTTGGATTCGGGATTTGGGATTTTGGGCTTGTTTTGGGGTGATTTGGATTTGGGATTTTGGGCTTGTTTTGGGGTGTTTTGGATTTGGGATTTGGGATTTTGGGCTTATTTTGGGGTGTTTTGGATTCGGGATTTGGGATTTTGGGCTTGTTTTGGGGTGATTTGGATTTGGGATTTGGGATTTTTGGGGGGTTTTGGGGTGTTTTGGGCGCCACCCACCCACGCTGTGTCCCCTCCAGGCAGCCAGCAGGCGCTGGGCGCTCCTTGGGGTGGGATTTTTGTGGGGTTTTGGGGTTTGTTGGATTTTGGATTTTGGGGATTTGTTGGATTTTGGGTTTTTTTGGGATTTTTGGGATTTTGGGGGTTTTCTGGGGGGTGTCACCCACCCACGCTGCGTCCCCCGCAGGCTGCTGGCAGCCACTGAGGGCTCCTTGGGGTGGGATTTTTGTGGGGACTTTGGGATTTTGGGGTTTGTTAGATTTGCGATTTGGGATTCTCGCATTTGAGATTTGGGGATTTTGGGGGTTGGGGATTTTGGGATGTTGGGATTTGGGGTTTTGGGATTGTTTGTATTTGGGATTTTGGGGTTTGTGTGATTCGGGATTTTGGAATGTTTTGGATTCGGTATTTTGGGATTTTGCAGTTTTTGGGGTTGGGATTTTTGGGATTTGGGGGGTTTTTTTTGGGGATTTTGGGATATTTTGGGTGCCCCCCACCCACGCTGTGTCCCCTCCAGGCCTCCAGCAGGCGCCGGGCGCTCCTTGGGGTGGGGTTTGTGTGGGGTTTGGGATTTGGGGTTTGGGATTTTGGGGTTTGTTGGATTTGGGGTTTTGGGGACTTGTTGGATTTGGGGTTTTTTGGGATTTTGGGGGTTTTTTGGGGTGTTTTGGCTGCCACTGACCCACGCTGCCGCCCCCGCAGGCGTCCAGCAGGCGCTGCGCTCCTTGGGCTGGGGTTTTTGTGGGGTTTTTGTGGGGTTTTTGTGGGGTTTTGGGATTTGTTGGATTTGGGATTTTGGGGATTTGTTGGTTTGGGGGTTTTTTGTGTTTTTTTTGGGATTTTGGGGTTATTTTGGGATATTTTAGTTGCCACTGACTCACGCTGCCGCCCCCGCAGGCCTCCAGCAGGCGCTGGGCGCTCTCCGTGGGGTGGGGTTTGTGTGGGGTTTTTGTGGGATTTTGGGGTTTGTTGGATTTGGGATTTTGGGGATTTGTTGGTTTTGGGGTTCTGGGGGGATTTGGGGATTTGGGGGTTTTTTGGGGTGTTTTGTCACCCACCCCACGCTGCCGCCCCCGCAGGCCTCCAGCAGGCGCTGCGCGCGCTCCTTGGGGTGGGGTTTGTGCGGGTTTGTGCGGGTCGTGCGGGTTTTTGTGGGTTTTTGGGGTTTGTTTGAATTGAGAATTTGGGATTTTGGATGTTTTGGATGTGGGATTTGGGATTTTGGGGATTTGGGGTTTTTTTTGGGATTTTGGGATATTCTGTCACCCACTGACCCACGCTGCTGCCCCCGCAGGCAGCCAGCAGGCGCCGGGCGCTCCTTGGGGTGGGGTTTTTGTGGGTTTTTGGGGTTTTTTGGATTTGGGATTTTGGGGTTTTTGGGGTTTTTGGGGTTTGGGATTTTGGGGTTTTTTGGGGATTCTGGGATATTCTGTCACCCACTGACTCACGCTGCCGCCCCCGCAGGCATCCAGCAGGCGCCGCGCGGGCTCCTTGGGGTGGGGTTTGTGTGGGGTTTTGGGGGTTTTTTGGATTTGGGATTTTGGTGTATTTGGGGTTTGGGATTTTGGGATTTTGGGGTTTTTGGGGTTTTTGGGGTTTGGGATTTTGGGATTTTGGGGTTTTTTTTGGGGATTTTGGGATATTCTGTCACCCACTGACCCACGCTGCCGCCCCCGCAGGCCTCCAGCAGGCGCCGCGCGCGCTCCTTGGCGTCGCTGGGCACCGACTCGTCCTTCATCAGCTCCGGGCACACGCACAGCGCTGTCACCTGCAGGGGACACCGCCACGGTGACACCACGGCGGGTGACACTGGGGGGGCGGCGACACCGGGGCGGTGGCGGCCGCGTCCCCGGGGCCGTACCTGGCGCAGGAAGGTGATCGGCTGCTGCCCCATGGCGTGCGCGTCACCGATGTTGGCCTTGATCACCTCGGTGAAGGGCTTGGGGACACCCTGGGGACACGGGGACAGCCGTGAGGGGACAGCGATGGGGACACAGGGGGACAGGGATGGGGACACCCTGGGGACACGGGGACAGCGGTGAGGGGACAGCGATGGGGACACAGGGGGACAGGGATGGGGACACCCTGGGGACACGGGGACAGCCGTGAGGGGACAGCGATGGGGACACAGGGACAGTGGTGAGGGGACAGCGGGGACACAGGGGGACACCCTGGGGACAAGGGACAGCAGTCAGGGGACGGGGATGGGGACGGGGACGGGGGACAGGGATGGGGACAGTGGTGAGGGGACGGGAATGGGGACGGGGATGGGGACAGGGATTGCAGAGGCAGGGACAGGGATGGGCACAGGGACAGGGATGAGGGGACAGGGAGGGGGACACAGGTGGGGACAAGGGACAAAGGGACAGGGATGGGGATGGGGACAAGGGACAGGGATGAGGGGACGGAGATGAGGGGACAGGGACAGAGACAAGGGGACAGGGATGGGGACAGTGGGGACACCCTGGGGGACAAGAGACAGGGATGGGGACAAAGGGACAGGGACAGGGATGGGGATGGGGACAGTGGGGACCGGGATGGGGACAGGATGGCAGGGACAGGGACAGGGACAAGGGGACAGGGATGGGGACAGGGATGGGGGAACAGGAGATGGGGACAGGGACAGGGACAAGTGACAGGGACAGGGATGGGGACAGCAGGGACAGGGATGGGGACAAGGGATGGGGACAAGGGGACAATGATGGGGACAAGGAACAGGAATAAGGACAAAGGACAGGGACGGGGACAAGGGGAGGGGGACAAGGACAGGGACAGCAATGGGGACAGGGACAGGGACAGGGACAGGGACAGGGACAGGGACAGGAATGGGGACAGGGACAGCAGGGACAGGGACAAAACCAGGTCACCCTTCATGACCCCACCCAGGGCTGTCCCCACCCAGGGCCACCCCCGCTGTCCCCTGTCACTGTCATTGTCACCTCCAGGGCGGTGGCGCCACCCCCGTAATGTCCCCTGTCCTGGCAGAGGCCGCGACCTCGGGGACCCCGGGGACCTTGGGGACATTGGGGACATTGGGGACCTCGGGGACCTCAGGGACTTTGGGGACACTGGGGGGACTTTGGGGACTTTGAGGACCCTCAGGGACTTTGGGGACTTTGGGGACCTCGGGGACACTGGGGACAGGGGGGACATTTGGGGACATTGAGGACACGGGGCAGGGTGGCAGCGACGTCCCCACCCCCGCTCGGACTTTGGCCACCGCGGACTCTGCCCCGGGTGGCACCGCCCCGATTGTGTCCCCGTGTCACCCCCTGTGTCACCCTCTGTGTCACCCCCTGTGTCACCCCCTGTGTCACCCTCTGTGTCACCGCACTGTGTCCCCGTGTCACCCCCTGTGTCACCCTCTGTGTCACCCCCTGTGTCACCCCACTGTGTCCCCCGTGTCACCCTCTGTGTCACCCTCTGTGTCACCCCCCGTGTCACCCCCTGTGTCACCCCCTGTGTCACCCCCTGTGTCACCCCCCGTGTCACCCCCTGTGTCACCCTCTGTGTCACCCCCTGTGTCACCGCACTGTGTCCCCGTGTCACCCCCTGTGTCACCCTCTGTGTCACCCCCTGTGTCACCCTCTGTGTCACCCCACTGTGTCCCCGTGTCACCCACTGTGTCACCCCGTGTGTCACCCGGTGTCACCTGTGTCACCCCACTGTGTCCCCGTGTCACCCCCCTGTGTCACCCTCTGTGTCACCCCCTGTGTCACCCCCTGTGTCACCCTCTGTGTCACCAGCTGTGTCACCCCACTGTGTCACCCCACTGTGTCCCCGTGTCACCCACTGTGTCACCCCGTGTGTCACCCGGTGTCACCTGTGTCACCCACTGTGTCCCCCGTGTCACCCCGTGTCCCTTGTGTCACCCGCAGCGTCCCCACCTGACCCCGCCACCCCCCAAAGGGACATTGGGGGACACTGAGGGACATTGAGGGGACATTGGGGGACACTGGGGGGACATTGGGGGGACACTGAGGGGGACATTGAGGGGACATTGAGGGACACTGAG